CTATAGATTTTCTAAAATGGCATTGACTATAGAGCAACTAGCAATATTATAGTCCTACTGGATTATATTATCAAAATATTAACCATATTGACTGAAATAATAATYAACAAGTCAATAGTCCATATAAATTGYAACRAAAATTGTGTAGAGCTGATGTATTAACTGAAATCAAAATGTTTAAAAACAATGATGATAAGAATTATTTATTATAGTTTTTACATAAACAATATAGTGACCAGAAATACTATTTTTTGAAGCAAGTCCTATYGTCATTAAAAATAGTATATGAAATTGTAATCTACATTTTAATAATGTTTTGTATTAATTTATTCAAATTTTACACTTGGTATTTTACCTTTAAAAAATAACTAAAATATTTATAGTTAGGTACTTTAGTTTAAGTTTACTTAAATTTCATAGAATTGTTATCATAAAGACACACATCTAATGAGTTGACATAATAATTTGAAATAATTACTTTTTTAGTACCTAGGGAATAATAATAATTAAAAAAAAAATACGATTTTTGTAGGATATGACCTATTGTCTATGATATGGGCAAAATGGGTATATGCATTGGCAGAGGACAAGCTAAGTTTTAAAATATACTTTTTTTAAATTTTTATATCTGGTCACCATACATATAACTACAAAATAAGTAATACTTACCAATATTTAATAGGACTTTCCAAGTATCCAATTTACACGCGTTATATCAATTTAAATAGGTACTTCTATGTTTAATTAAATGAATAAACAAAATAAAATATAACATAAACAACACACCATGACATATTATTATAATATAATATTAACTGTTATGTCATGTTATTTTATTATAATGCTGATGTCTGATGTACTATGCATTACTAGCTGATTACTACATAGTCATACTACATAGTACAATATGGCGTACAGCGTACTGTCAGACGTTAAAGTTGTCAGTAAGTTGTCACGAGGTATCGTGTAATCATGAAACATTATATAACTGAAATCTGAATGATAGCTTGCTATGGGATATGTACATATTATACAAAAACATAAAGCTTATACTAGGTAATAAGTATAAGGCCTATTGTATTGGTATCGGTATTGGTTTTGTGATTATACAGGACGCAAGATTATTATTTTGCTTCATAAATTTAATGTTATAGGTTGGGCGGAGTTACAGAATATACWAGGGTATTCTTAACTTTTGGCTTTTCACAATCACTATTCGGTATTATAAGAATGATTTATTAATTATTATGCATCAACGTCGATATCGGTAATCGAAAGCGATAAGCAAAATAATAGTATTTATAGTAGTAATTTTAGTCCAATTAATTATAATTATATGACAATTTATAATAAGCTATAATAGGTAATAACAAGTACAAATTTAATATTATCACCACTCTCCGCTACACCATGGATCGATGATATCGAATTCATTACTATTATAGCTACTGGACTTAACAAATAAAAATCCCAGTTCTGACTAATTAGTACTGATGTATAACACCTCAAAACTTTCTAAAACCAACCAACTTTTAGCAGCTATAACTCGCCGACGAATCAATGAAAATTAAAAATTTTAACGTGAAAATTCATGAAAAAAATGGATTTATTAATTTATGAAATTATTAATATAGGTTGCCATTTGAAGATCAAAAGTTGATACCTATTTTAGTATTAAATATACGAGTGAAAAAAATAAAATGTTATACAGTTGTAGAAAAACATGTATCTAAAAATATGAAAAAAAATCTATACTTTTTGAAATATTGAGTGTTGTTTGATAAAAAAATTACCCAGTATTATATCGGACAAAAATTAAAATCTTTTAGTCTTGATTAAAAATAAATACGACCGGCTGTATGGAAAACGCATTAGTTGTTGACTCATGGTATAATATTATTTTTCGAGCATAATAGATGAGTTGAAAACAGATATTGGTCTTCTTTCAGGTGTTCTGTTACGCGGTGTGTGCAGTGACCGTCATCGGTTCGACGAGATGCGAACCGGCAGAGGAAAGCGCTTCGACCGACAAAGCACAACCTGCCAACAGGAGGAGCTTCGGCGAATACCATGGGCTGTATGCCCCTGCGTACCACACTCACTATGGGGCGGCCGCGGCCACCAACCACGGCCACTACGTCCCCGCGACGGCCCACTACCACGCTCACGGCTACGCATCTCCTGCACACTATCACAGCCACGGCTACGCACCGGCACACTATCACAGCCACGGTTACGCACCGGCACACTATCACAGCCACGGCTACGCACCGGCACATTATCACAGCCACGAGACCACTGTGCACGGGTTCAAACACCAGCCTGTCGTCTACCAGTCAGTGGTGCACACGTATCCAACGGCCACCAYGGTCGTCCACAAACCAGTACCAGTGCCGGTCGCCCACCCCGTCCCGGTGCCCGTTGACCGACCTGTGGCCGTCGAAGTTCCTCGGCCGTATCCAGTAGCCGTCAACCGACCATACCCAGTGCCCGTCATTAAGCCCGTCGCCGTGCCCGTGGCCCAGCCGTACCCGGTGACCGTRTATAAACCGTACCCTGTGCCCGTATACCGCCCAMTACCGGTGGCYCCTGTGGCCAGACCAGCCGCCACCGCCGTACATTACGTCACTAGACTTCCCACAGTTCGCGTACCGCTCGTCAGGTATCCAGCACCATCGTATCACTCGCACGCTTACGCACCACACTATCA